ATCATGACTTTGGAAGAAGTGGTTGGATCGAGCTCCGCCAAAAAGTGAGTTTAACGTCACAGCTTTTACCGTGAACCGAGGCACGTGCAGACCGTGCACTGTCTCCTCATGCACGAGCCCCGACGGTAAAGCTGGGGTCCGTAACTTTCAACCCACTATAATGCAATATGTAATACACTCCATCATGTCATAGTGTGAGAGAGACCAGAGAGAGAGAGACCAAAGAGAGAGACCAGAGAGAGAGAGAGAGACCAGAGAGAGAGAGACCAGAGAAAGAGAGACCAGAGAGACCAGAGAAAGAGAGACCAGAGAGAGAGAGAGAGAGAGACCAGAGAGAGAGACCAGAGAGACTAAACCATGTGTCCTTGCAGGATGGAGACTGTGAGCGCGGCGCTGGAGACGCTCCTGGACGCGGCGCAGAGACGCGGCTGTCTGACGGTGGGCGTGTACGAATCTGCCAAACTCATGAATGTGTGAGTGTCTCTGTGTTCGTGACTAGACCCAGTGACGCGCGCCTCATCCGCGGGTTATATTTAGAGCTGCAGCTTCAATTGCTCAGAAGTGGTTATTTTTAGAAGCAGTGCTATTTTTAGCTCAGGCTCCAATGGACGCTCCAGACCGAGGCCGTAGACCCAGGACTGAGGCCGTAGACCCAGGACCGAGGCCGTAGACCCAGGATCGAGGCCGTAGACCCAGGGCCGTAGACCCAGGACCGAGGCCTTAGACCCAGGACCGAGGCCTTAGACCCAGGACCGAGGCCTTAGACCCAGGACCGAGGCCTTAGACCCAGGACCGAGGCCTTAGACCCAGGACCGAGGCCGTAGACCCGGGACCGAGGCCGTAGACCCAGGACTGACGCCGTAGACCCAGGACTGAGGCCGTAGACCCGGGACCGAGGCCGTAGACCCGGGACCGAGGCCGTAGACCCGGGACCGAGGCCGTAGACCCAGGACTGACCTTGTCGTCTGTCCCGCAGAGACCCGGACAGTGTGGTTCTGTGTGTGTTGGCGTCGGATGCTGAGGAGGACATCGCGCTGCAGATCCACTTCACTCTCCTACAGGCTTTCTGCTGCGACAACAGCATCAACATCCTGAGGGTGAGGGGCCTGAGACGCCTGGGACAGCTGCTGGACCAGGACCTGGACCTGGACCAGGACCACAACGAGGGCCGAGACCTGCACTGCCTCCTGGTCACGGTGAGAAGACACTTCATCCCCCTCTCCACACACACCTCCTGCTCATCTGTGTCCCATGGTCTCCCCCTGGTCTCCTCCTCTGGTCTCCTCCTCGTCTCCTCCTGGTCTCCTCCTGGTCTCCTCCTGCTCATCTGTGTCCTGGTCTCCTCCCTGTCTCCTCCCTGGCCTCCTCCTGGCCTCCTCCTGGCCTCCTCCTGGTCTCCTCCTGGTCTACCCCTGGTCTCCTCCTGGTCTCCACCTGGTCTCCACCTGGTGGGACATGCCCAGAACACCTCCTCAGGGAGGAAACCAGGAGGGACAAATAAACAACTGAGCCACCTCCACATGGAGGAGCAGCATCTCTACTCCAAGCTCCTCCTGTGTGAGTGAGCTCCTCACCATGTCTATAAGAGAGAGACCAGAGGGAGGGGAGAGAGACCAGAGGGAGGGGAGAGAGACCAGAGGGAGGGGAGAGAGACCAGAGGCAGAGGGAGAGAGACCAGAGGGAGGGGGAGAGAGACCAGAGGGAGGGGAGAGAGACCAGAGGGAGGGGAGAGAGACAAGAGGGAGAGGGAGAGAGACCAGAGGGAGGGGAGAGAGACAAGAGGGAGAGGGAGAGAGACCAGAGGGAGAGGGAGAGAGACCAGAGGGAGGGGAGAGAGACCAGAGGGAGGGGAGAGAGACAAGAGGGAGAGGGAGAGAGACCAGAGGGAGAGGGAGAGAGACCAGAGGGAGGGGAGAGAGACCAGAGGGAGGGGAGAGAGACAAGAGGGAGAGGGAGAGAGACCAGAGGGAGAGGGAGAGAGACCAGAGGGAGGGGAGAGAGACCAGAGGGAGGGGAGAGAGACCAGAGGGAGAGGGAGAGAGAGAGAGAGGGAGAGGGAGAGAGACCAGAGGGAGGGGAGAGAGACCAGAGGGAGAGGGAGAGAGACCAGAGGGAGGGGAGAGAGACCAGAGGGAGGGGAGAGAGACCAGAGGGAGAGGGAGAGAGACCAGAGGGAGGGGAGAGAGACAAGAGGGAGAGAGACCAGAGGGAGGGGAGAGAGACCAGAGGGAGGGGGAGAGAGACCAGAGGGAGGGGAGAGAGACCAGAGGGAGAGGGAGAGAGACCAGAGGGAGGGGAGAGAGACCAGAGGGAGGGGGAGAGAGACCAGAGGGAGAGGGAGAGAGACCAGAGGGAGAGGGAGAGAGACCAGAGGGAGAGGGAGAGAGACCAGAGGGAGAGAGACCAGAGGGAGGGGAGAGAGACCAGAGGGAGGGGAGAGAGACAAGAGGGAGAGGGAGAGAGACAAGAGGGAGAGGGAGAGAGACCAGAGGGAGGGGAGAGAGACAAGAGGGAGGGGAGAGAGACCAGAGGGAGGGGGAGAGAGACCAGAGGGAGGGGGAGAGAGACCAGAGGGAGGGGGAGAGGGAGAGAGACCAGAGGGAGAGGGAGAGAGACCAGAGGGAGGGGAGAGAGACCAGAGGGAGGGGAGAGAGACCAGAGGGAGGGGAGAGAGACCAGAGGGAGAGGGAGAGAGACAAGAGGGAGAGGGAGAGAGACCAGAGGGAGGGGAGAGAGACCAGAGGGAGAGGGAGAGAGACCAGAGGGAGGGGGAGAGGGAGAGAGACAAGAGGGAGAGGGAGAGAGACCAGAGGGAGAGGGAGAGAGACCAGAGGGAGAGGGAGAGAGACCAGAGGGAGGGGAGAGAGACCAGAGGGAGGGGGAGAGGGAGAGAGACCAGAGGGAGGGGAGAGAGACCAGAGGGAGAGGGAGAGAGACAAGAGGGAGAGGGAGAGAGACCAGAGGGAGGGGAGAGAGACAAGAGGGAGAGGGAGAGAGACCAGAGGGAGGGGAGAGAGACCAGAGGGAGAGGGAGAGAGACCAGAGGGAGGGGAGAGAGACCAGAGGGAGGGGAGAGAGACCAGAGGGAGAGAGACCAGAGGGAGGGGAGAGAGACCAGAGGGAGAGGGAGAGAGACCAGAGGGAGAGGGAGAGAGACCAGAGGGAGAGGGAGAGAGACCAGAGGGACTTGAACCTACTTCCTCAGAGGAAGAACCTCTGGCTGCACTTCTTAAATGAGACACTTTTGCGTCACTAGTTTTGACTTGTTCTTGTGTTCCTCCAGAACCCCCCTGTGGACCCCCTGCAGAGCCAGGCCCTGTCCGCCATCACCAGCTTCTGTGCCGAGAGCCGGGTCCAGAACCTTTGGGTCCCGGCGCTGGAGCTGCAGGCGCGCTGAGCCAGAGCACAAAGGCACAAGTCAATCATGTCTGACGCAGTCAGCTGTCAACCAATCACGACGCTTCCTGCACCTGGAAGAGGCAGGGCTTACGGGCGTCGGAAGGTGAATGGAGAAGCCGAGTTGTGCTATCGGTGCTAACAGCGCTAACGGTGGTAACAGCGCTAACGGTGCTAACGGCTACAAGTCTCTGGAAGTTCCGAAAAGGCGCAATGGATTCACTGAAGAATAAGTTTGAGGAAAGAGTTTGAAGAGTCTGAACCTGGGATCGTCATGGAAACAGTTTCCAAGAAAGTTCTGGAAAAAGAATCCTTTGGGTCGAACGTGATCCAGTGAAAGTGCAGCGCGTCGTTAGCGCTCGGAGACTTTAGCTCCTGGTTTGAATTTAACTGAAGACTTTTACAATATTGTTCGAGTGTCTATTGTCTGTGAACAATGACGTCACTTACTGCACCTCCACAGCCATGCTAACGCCATGCTAACGCCATGCTAACGCCATGCTAATGGAATGCTAGCGCCATACTAAAGCTAATTGTAAACAAAATGCCACTTCAACACGTTTCTGTCGAAGAAGCTAGCTGCTAGCATAAAGTTAGCATAATAACGAGGAGGAATCAGAGTAATGTCTAACATTAGAATTAGAAAATGGCCGCTCATTTACATTTGAGGAACTTTTACTTTTGTATCTGCTCCTTTCATGTGACTGATGCTTCAAATGCAACAGTCGCTAAGCAACAAACTTTCTATGGCTTTTATAAGTCCTGGACTGGTCCTGACTGTGTTCCATGACCTCCTGACCGTGTACCATGTGGGGACCTCCTGACCGTGTACCATGTGGGGACCTCCTGACCGTGTACCATGTGGGGACCTCCTGATCGTGTACCATGTGGGGACCTGCGGCGCGTGTACCATGTGGGGACCGTGTACCATGTGGGGGATTGTGTACCATGTGCTAACTTACTTAGCAGCACACACCTGTGATGTCGCACAAACTGAATGTTTAATAAATGATGAAATGAAGTATGTTGTTGTGGTTATTTATATAGCGCCTTTCACCGCCTCAGAGATGGAGACCTGCAGCAGGCACAGGCAACGCTACTGGACTGGACTGTACTGGACTGGACTGTACTGGACTGTACTGGACTGTACTGGACTGTACTGGACTGTACTGGACTGGACTGGACTGTACTGGACTGTACTGGACTGTACTGGACTGGACTGGACTGTACTGGACTGGACTGGACTGTACTGGACTGTACTGGACTGTACTGGACTGTACTGGACTGCTACACCAGTCTATTTTAGTGAAAACGTTTCTCCCAGGTGCTCTTCAGATTGGGGGTGCTCTTCTGATTGGGGGTGCTCTTCTGATTGGGGTGCTCTTCTGATTGGGGTGCTCTTCAGATTGGGGGTGCTCTTCTGATTGGGGGTGCTCTTCTGATTGGGGGTGCTCTTCAGATTGGGGTGCTCTTCAGATTGGGGTGCTCTTCAGATTGGGGTGCTCTTCAGATTGGGGTGCTCTTCAGATTGGGGGTGCTCTTCTGATTGGGGTGCTCTTCTGATTGGGGGTGCTCTTCTGATTGGGGGTGCTCTTCAGATTGGGGTGCTCTTCTGATTGGGGGTGCTCTTCTGATTGGGGGTGCTCTTCAGATTGGGGGTGCTCTTCAGATTGGGGGTGCTCTTCAGATTGGGGTGCTCTTCAGATTGGGGTGCTCTTCAGATTGGGGTGCTCTTCTGATTGGGGGTGCTCTTCAGATTGGGGTGCTCTTCAGATTGGGGGTGCTCTTCAGATTGGGGTGCTCTTCAGATTGGGGGTGCTCTTCAGATTGGGGGTGCTCTTCAGATTGGGGTGCTCTTCAGATTGGGGTGCTCTTCAGATTGGGGGTGCTCTTCTGATTGGGGGTGCTCTTCTGATTGGGGTGCTCTTCTGATTGGGGTGCTCTTCTGATTGGGGGTGCTCTTCAGATTTGGGGTGCTCTTCAGATTGGGGTGCTCTTCAGATTGGGGGTACTCTTCAGATTTGGGGTGCTCTTCAGATTGGGGGTGCTCTTCAGATTGGGGTCTTCGATTGGGGTCTCTTCAGGGGTGCTCTTCAGATTGGGGGTGCTCTTCAGATTGGGGTGCTCTTCAGATTGGGGTGCTCTTCTGATTGGGGGTGCTCTTCAGATTGGGGTGCTCTTCAGATTGGGGTGCTCTTCTGATTGGGGGTGCTCTTCTGATTGGGGGTGCTCTTCTGATTGGGGTGCTCTTCAGATTGGGGGTGCTCTTCAGATTGGGGGTGCTCTTCTGATTGGGGGTGCTCTTCTGATTGGGGGTGCTCTTCTGATTGGGGGTGCTCTTCAGATTGGGGGTGCTCTTCTGATTGGGGGTGCTCTTCAGATTGGGGTGCTCTTCAGATTGGGGGTGCTCTTCAGATTGGGGGTGCTCTTCTGATTGGGGGTGCTCTTCAGATTGGGGTGCTCTTCAGATTGGGGGTGCTCTTCAGATTGGGGGTGCTCTTCAGGGCATGTGTGGCACTAAAAGAGTCAAAGTGGCAGAAAACACAGGGAACATCAGACAGGATTTTTTACAAGCTTTTTTTTGTTTTACAGAAAGGAAAGTAGTCAAGCTCATCATTCAGTCCGGGATATTGTGGAGCTTTCAAATCTAAAAAGACTCTCGTTGGAGTAATCGTTTGAGTCTGTTCCTGCTCTTGGGGACGCTCTGATGTGTTCAGACTTTCACAGCTTCCATTGTACTAATGTATGTCTTTAATGGTAGATGAAACCTACGCAGACACAGGGAGAACATGCAAACTCCACACAGAAAGGCCTGGTCATGCTTAAGACATGCTTTAGAGGTGTTTTAGACCTGCTTTAGTCCTGCTTTAGACCTGCTTTCGACCTGCTTTAGTCCTGCTTTAGTCCTGCTTTAGTCCTGCTTTAGTCCTGCTTTAGACCTGCTTTAGTCCTGCTTTAGACCTGCTTTAGACCTGCTTTAGTCCTGCTTTAGTCCTGCTTTAGACCTGCTTTAGACCTGCTTTAGTCCTGCTTTAGTCCTGCTTTAGACCTGCTTTAGACCTGCTTTAGTCCTGTTTTAGACCTGCTTTAGACCTGCTTTAGTCCTGCTTTAGTCCTGCTTTAGACCTGCTTTAGTCCTGCTTTAGTCCTGCTTTAGACCGGCTTTAAACCTGCTTTAGACCTGCTTTAGTCCTGCTTTAGACCTGCTTTAGACCTGCTTTAGTCCTGCTTTAGACCTGCTTTAGACCTGCTTTAGACCTGCTTTAGTCCTGCTTTAGACCTGCTTTAGTCCTGCTTTAGTCCTGCTTTAGACCTGCTTTAGACCTGCTTTAGTCCTGTTTTAGACCTGCTTTAGACCTGCTTTAGTCCTGCTTTAGTCCTGCTTTAGACCTGCTTTAGTCCTGCTTTAGTCCTGCTTTAGACCGGCTTTAAACCTGCTTTAGACCTGCTTTAGTCCTGCTTTAGACCTGCTTTAGACCTGCTTTAGTCCTGCTTTAGACCTGCTTTAGACCACATATTTCCTATAGTCCAATGAAGTCTGTTATTTCCCACTCTCCTCTTCCTTTTCCTGTTGTGACTCACGGTTCTCATTGTGCCCATATTTGGTCAGTGACGCAGCAGGATCCCCCACGTCACATGCTCCTCTGCCAAAAGGAAACTCCACAGGATCATAACACTCATGCAAATAGACTATAGATAGCAGTAGTAGTAGCAGTAGCAGTAGTAGTAGTAGCAGCAGAAGTAGCAGTAGCAGTAGCAGTAGTAGTAGTAGTAGCAGTAGTAGTAGTAGTAGTAGTAGTAGCAGTAGCAGTAGTAGTAGTAGCAGCAGAAGTAGCAGTAGCAGTAGTAGTAGCAGTAGTAGTAGCAGTAGCAGTAGTAGTAGTAGCAGCAGAAGTAGCAGTAGCAGCAGAAGTAGCAGTAGCAGTAGCAGTAGCAGCAGCAGGAGTTGCAGGTGCAGGAGGTCTGTAGCTAAAAAACAAAGTATGGAAAATCCTGTAGCTGCTCAGACACAGCAGACTGCTGCAGCTGCACGCGCCCGGGAGACCTGCGCCCGGGAGACCTGCGCCCGGGAGACCTGCGCCAGGGAGACCTGCGCCTGGGAGACCTGCGCCAGGGAGACCTGCGCCCGGGAGACCTGCGCCTGGGAGACCTGCGCCCGGGAGACCTGCGCCAGGGAGACCTGCGCCCGGGAGACCTGCGCCCGGGAGACCTGCGCCAGGGAGACCTGCGCCAGGGAGACCTGCGCCAGGGAGACCTGCGCCCGGGAGACCTGCGCCAGGGAGACCTGCGCCAGGGAGACCTGCGCCCGGGAGACCTGCGCCCGGGAGACCTGCGCCAGGGAGACCTGCGCCAGGGAGACCTGCGCCAGGGAGACCTGCGCCAGGGAGACCTGCGCCAGGGAGACCTGCGCCCGGGAGACCTGCGCCAGGGAGACCTGCGCCAGGGAGACCTGCGCCCAGGAGACCTGCGCCAGGGAGACCTGCGCCCAGGAGACCTGCGCCCAGGAGACCTGCGCCCAGGAGACGACACGCTTGGAGCTGGAGCTGTTGCGTACCTGCAGCGGACCAGTGCTCCTCCTCCTGTTTCTCCTCCTGCTCCTCGCCCTGCTCCTCCTCCTGCTCCTCCTCCTGCTCCTCCTCCTGTTTCTCCTCCTGCTCCTACTCCTCCTCCTCCTCCTGTTTCTCCTCCTGCTCCTCGCCCTCCTCCTCCTGCTCCTCCTCCTGTTTCTCCTCCTGCTCCTACTCCTCCTCCTCCTCCTGCTCCTACTCCTCCTCATCCTCCTGTTTCTCCTCCTGCTCCTCCTCTTGCTCCTCCTCTTGCTCCTCCTCCACTTTTTACAAACATTTAATTGAACTTTAAATTAACTTAAGAGTTGTTCTGTTACTTTATGCACAGGTTTTTCATCATGTAAGTGTTTGAAAAGGTTCATATCTGTAATTCATGAGAACTTTACTCACGTTATCACCAAACAAGAGACACAGGTGACCTCTGACCTGTAGGAAGGACACAGGTGACCTCTGACCTGTAGGAAGGACACGGGTGACCTTTGACCTGTAAGAAGGACACAGGTGACCTCTGACCTGTAGTAAGGACACAGGTGACCTCTGACCTGTAGGACGGACACGGGTGACCTTTGACCTGTAGGAAGGACACGGGTGGCCTTTGACCTGTAGGAAGGACACAGGTGACCTTTGACCTGGGCTTTTTTCAAGACTAGCATTTATTACATCAGGATGTTCTAGTATTTTAGCGTTGATATTCAGAAGTAATTACATGGGAAATACAGACTCTCTCTGGTCTCTCTCTCTGGTCTCTCTCTGCTCTCTCTCTGGTCTCTCTCTCTGGTCTCTCTCTCTGGTCTCTCTCTGGTCTCTCTCTCTGGTCTCTCTCTCTGGTCTCTCTCTGGTCTCTCTTTTCTTTCTCTGGTCTCTCTCTGGTCTCTCTCTCTGGTCTCTCTCTGGTCTCTCTCTGGTCTCTCTCTGGTCTCTCTCTCTGGTCTCTCTCTGGTCCTCTCTCTCTGGTCTCTCTCTGGTCTCTCTCTCTGGTCTCTCTCTCTGGTCTCTCTCTGGTCTCTCTCTCTGGTCTCTCTCTGGTCTCTCTCTGGTCTCTCTCTCTGGTCTCTCTCTGGTCTCTCTCTGGTCTCTCTCTGGTCTCTCTCTCTGGTCTCTCTCTCTGGTCTCTCTCTCTGGTCTCTCTCTGGTCTCTCTCTCTGGTCTCTCTCTCTGGTCTCTCTCTGGTCTCTCTCTCTGGTCTCACTCTGGTCTCTCTCTTGTTTTTCCCTGCTGGTCCTGATGACTCACAGAAGCGGATGAGTATCTTGGTTGTTGTCACCTCTGTGGTCACATGACTCTGACCTCTGACCCCAGCTCTGGTCACATGTCTCACCGGTCAGTGAGACAAAGCAGCTTCTGTCTGTGTGGTCATCATTAGGACAATATGTTATTGAGAGAGAGACCATGAAAGACCATGAAATACCATAGAGAGACCAGAGAGAGAGACCAGAGAGAGAGACCAGAGGGAGAGACCAGAGAGAGAGACCAGAGGGAGACCAGAGAGAGAGACCAGAGAGAGAGACCAGAGGGAGAGACCAGAGGGAGAGACCAGAGGGAGAGACCAGAGAGAGAGACCAGAGGGAGACCAGAGGGAGAGACCAGAGAGAGAGACCAGAGAGAGAGACCAGAGAGAGAGACCAGAGAGAGACCAGAGAGAGAGACCAGAGAGAGAGACCAGAGGGAGAGACCAGAGGGAGAGACCAGAGGGAGAGACCAGAGAGAGAGACCAGAGGGAGACCAGAGGGAGAGACCAGAGAGAGAGACCAGAGAGAGAGACCAGAGAGAGAGACCAGAGAGAGACCAGAGAGAGAGACCAGAGAGAGAGACCAGAGAGAGAGACCAGAGAGAGACCAGAGAGAGAGACCAGAGAGAGAGACCAGAGAGAGAGACCAGAGAGAGACCAGAGAGAGAGACCAGAGAGAAAGACCAGAGAGAAAGACCAGAGAGAAAGACCAGAGAGAGAGATCAGAGAAGTGTGGGACCAGAAACCCAGACCTGGACTGCGGCTTAAAGACTCGGGTTCATATGAGGACTGAGACGGATTCAAAACCAGTGACACCATCAGTATGAAAGGAAAGAACATGCAAATTCAGGTTTGTTCCCAGTTCAGTCCTGGTTCAGTCCCAGTTCAGTCCCTGTGTAGCCCTGGTTTAGTCCTTGGTCAGTTTTGGTTCAGACCTGGTTCAATCCTGGTTCAGTCTTGGTTCAGACCTGGTTCAGACCTGGTTCAGACCTGGTTCAGTCCTGGTTCAGTCCCGGTTCAGACCTGGTTCAATCCTGGTTCAGTCTTGGTTCAGACCTGGTTCAGACCTGGTTCAGTCCTGGTTCAGTCCCTGTGTAGCCCTGGTTTAGTCCTTGGTCAGTTTTGGTTCAGACCTGGTTCAATCCTGGTTCAGTCTTGGTTCAGACCTGGTTCAGACCTGGTTCAGTCCTGGTTCAGTCCCTGTGTAGCCCTGGTTTAGTCCTTGGTCAGTTTTGGTTCAGACCTGGTTCAATCCTGGTTCAGTCTTGGTTCAGACCTGGTTCAGACCTGGTTCAGTCCTGGTTCAGTCCCGGTTCAGACCTGGTTCAATCCTGGTTCAGTCTTGGTTCAGACCTGGTTCAGACCTGGTTCAGTCCTGGTTCAGTCCCGGTTCAGACCTGGCTCAGTCCTGGTTCAGTCTTGGTTCAGACCTGGTTCAGACCTGGTTCAGTCCTGGTTCAGTCCTGGTTCAGTCCCGGTTCAGACCTGGCTCAGTCCTGGTTCAGTCCTCCATGTCTCAGTGGTCTGTGGTTTGGGTGGGTCTGGATTGTGGTTTCGGGGTCTCTCAGAGGTGGGGGTGGGGACTCTCCTCGCTCTGCACATCTAGAGACTGGAAGTTTTTCACAGTCTGCATTTGACCCATCAGTGTCTTTGACCCATCAGTGTCGTTGACCCATCAGTGTCGTTGACCCATCAGTGCATTTGACCCATCAGTGTCTTTGACCCATCAGTGTCTTTGACCCATCAGTGTCGTTGACCCATCAGTGCATTTGACCCATCAGTGTCTTTGACCCATCAGTGTCGTTGACCCATCAGTGCATTTGACCCATCAGTGTCTTTGACCCATCAGTGTCGTTGACCCATCAGTGCATTTGACCCATCAGTGTCTTTGACCCATCAGTGTCGTTGACCCATCAGTGCATTTGACCCATCAGTGCATTTGACCCATCAGTGTCTTTGACCCATCAGTGCATTTGACCCATCAGTGTCTTTGACCCATCAGTGTCGTTGACCCATCAGTGCCTTTGTCCCATCAGTGTCTTTGACCCATCAGTGCATTTGACCCATCAGTGTCTTTGACCCATCAGTGTCGTTGACCCATCAGTGTCTTTGACCCATCAGTGCATTTGACCCATCAGTGTCTTTGACCCATCAGTGTGGTTGACCCATCAGTGCATTTGACCCATCAGTGTCGTTGACCATCAGTGTTGTTGACCCATCAGTGCATTTGACCCATCAGTGTCTTTGACCCATCAGTGTCTTTGACCCATCAGTGTCCTCTGCATTTGACCCATCAGGAGGCTCCTGGACAAACATCTGTGTGGACCGTGACTGTCGCCCCCTGCAGGTCACTCTGCTGTGGAGAGCAGCTGCAGTAACAGACGGATCCACACTCTGTCAGACACAGGAGGTGATGTCACACAGTTGGGCCCGGGGCAAATGTCCTGTAAAGGGCTGTAGTTCCTGCTGCTGTCAGACTGTACAACGAGGCTCCTGCTGACCCTGTACATGTAGTTCCTGCTGCTGTCAGACTGTACAACGAGGCTCCTGCTGACCCTGTACATGTAGTTCCTGCTGCTGTCAGACTGTACAACGAGGCTCCTGCTGACCCTGTACATGTAGTTCCTGCTGCTGTCAGACTGTACAACGAGGCTCCTGCTGACCCTGTACATGTAGTTCCTGCTGCTGTCAGACTGTACAACGAGGCTCCTGCTGACCCTGTACATGTCACTCAGAATGTCCACTTTTCACTTATTTATTCTGATCATTGTTCTGTCACAGGGAGAACATGCAAACTGTGACCCGCTGCAGGGCTGAGGAGGGGGAGGGGCTGGGCGGGTCTGGTCTGGGGGTTTCTGGTCCCTGTTCTGTGGCGAGGTCTGGACTCGGGTCTTTCACTAAAACTCACTCTGTCATTCAAAAATACAACTCTACACACATCCTGTATTTAGATCAAAATGTGAGAGAGACCAGAGGGAGAGAGACCAGGGGGAGAGAGACCAGAGAGAGAGAGACCAGAGAGAGAGACCAGAGAGAGACCAGAGAGAGACCAGAGAGAGACCAGAGAGAGACCAGAGAGAGACCAGAGAGAGAGACCAGAGAGAGAGACCAGAGAGAGACCAGAGAGAGACCAGAGAGAGACCAGAGAGAGACCAGGGGGAGAGACCAGAGAGAGAGAGACCAAAGAGCGAGAGACCAGAGAGAGAGACCAGAGAGAGAGAGAGACCAGGGGGAGAGAGACTAGAGAAAGAGACCAGAGGGAGAGAGACCAGAGAAAGAGACCAGAGGGAGAGACCAGAGGGAGAGAGACCAGGGGGAGAGACCAGAGAGAGACCAGAGAGAGAGACCAGAGAGAGACCAGAGAGAGAGACCAGAGAGAGAGAGAGACCAGGGGGAGAGAGACTAGAGAAAGAGACCAGAGGGAGAGAGACCAGAGAAAGAGACCAGAGGGAGAGACCAGAGGGAGAGAGACCAGGGGGAGAGACCAGAGAGAGACCAGAGAGAGAGACCAGAGAGAGACCAGAGAGAGACCAGAGAGAGACCAGAGAGAGAGACCAGAGAGAGAGACCAGAGAGAGACCAGAGAGAGACCAGAGAGAGACCAGAGAGAGAGACCAGAGAGAGACCAGAGAGAGAGACCAGAGAGAGACCAGAGAGAGACCAGAGAGAGAGACCAGAGAGAGAGACCAGAGAGAGACCAGAGAGAGACCAGAGAGAGAGACCAGAGAGAGACCAGAGAGAGACCAGAGAGAGACCAGAGAGAGAGACCAGAGAGAGACCAGTTAGAGACCAGAGAGAGAGACCAGAGAGAGACCAGGGGGAGAGAGACCAGAGAGAGACCAGAGAGAGAGACCAGAGAGAGACCAGAGAGAGACCAGAGAGAGACCAGGGGGAGAGACCAGAGAGAGAGAGACCAAAGAGAGAGAGACCAGAGAGAGAGACCAGAGAGAGAGAGAGACCAGGGGGAGAGAGACTAGAGAAAGAGACCAGAGGGAGAGAGACCAGAGAAAGAGACCAGAGGGAGAGACCAGAGGGAGAGAGACCAGGGGGAGAGACCAGAGAGAGACCAGAGAGAGAGACCAGAGAGAGACCAGAGAGAGACCAGAGAGAGACCAGAGAGAGAGACCAGAGAGAGAGACCAGAGAGAGACCAGAGAGAGACCAGAGAGAGACCAGAGAGAGAGACCAGAGAGAGACCAGAGAGAGAGACCAGAGAGAGACCAGAGAGAGACCAGAGAGAGAGGCCAGAGAGAGAGACCAGAGAGAGACCAGAGAGAGACCAGAGAGAGACCAGAGAGAGAGACCAGAGAGAGACCAGAGAGAGACCAGAGAGAGACCAGAGAGAGAGACCAGAGAGAGACCAGAGAGAGACCAGAGAGAGACCAGAGAGAGAGACCAGAGAGAGAGACCAGAGAGAGACCAGAGAGAGACCAGAGAGAGACCAGAGAGAGAGACCAGAGAGAGACCAGAGAGAGACCAGAGAGAGAGACCAGAGAGAGAGACCAGAGAGAGACCAGAGAGAGACCAGAGAGAGACCAGAGAGAGAGACCAGAGAGAGACCAGAGAGAGACCAGAGAGAGACCAGAGAGAGAGACCAGAGAGAGACCAGAGAGAGACCAGAGAGAGACCAGAGAGAGACCAGAGAGAGACCAGGGGGAGAGAGACCAGAGAGAGACCAGAGAGAGAGACCAGAGAGAGACCAGAAAGAGACCAGAGAGAGACCAGAGAGAGAGACCAGAGAGAGACCAGAGAGAGACCAGAGAGAGACCAGAGAGAGACCAGGGGGAGAGAGACCAGAGAGAGAGACCAGAGAGAGACCAGGGGGAGAGAGACCAGAGAGAGACCAGAGAGAGACCAGAGAGAGACCAGAGAGAGACCAGAGAGAGACCAGTTAGAGACCAGAGAGAGAGACCAGAGAGAGACCAGGGGGAGAGAGACCAGAGAGAGACCAGAGAGAGAGACCAGGGGGAGAGAGACCAGAGAGAGACCAGAGAGAGAGACCAGAGAGAGACCAGAGAGAGACCAGAGAGAGACCAGAGAGAGAGACCAGAGAGAGACCAGTTAGAGACCAGAGAGAGAGACCAGAGAGAGACCAGAGAGAGACCAGAGAGAGACCAGAGAGAGACCAGGGGGAGAGACCAGAGAGAGAGAGACCAAAGAGAGAGACCAGAGAGAGAGAGAGACCAGAGGGAGAGAGACCAGAGAGAGACCAGAGAAAGAGACCAGAGAGAGACCAGAGAGAGAGACCAGAGGGAGAGAGACCAGGGGGAGAGACCAGAGAGAGACCAGAGAGAGAGACCAGAGGGAGAGAGACCAGAGAGAGAGACCAGAGGGAGAGAGACCAGGGGGAGAGACCAGAGAGAGACCAGAGAGAGAGACCAGAGGGAGAGAGACCAGAGAGAGAGACCAGAGAGAGACCAGAGAGAGAGACCAGAGGGAGAGAGACCAGGGGGAGAGACCAGAGAGAGACCAGAGAGAGAGACCAGAGGGAGAGAGACCAGAGAGAGAGACCAGAGGGAGAGAGACCAGGGGGAGAGACCAGAGAGAGACCAGAGGGAGAGAGACCAAAGAGAGAGAGACCAGAGAGAGAGACCAGAGGGAGAGAGACCAGGGGGAGAGACCAGAGAGAGACCAGAGAGAGAGACCAGAGAGAGAGACCAGAGAGAAAGACCAGAGAGAGAGACCAGAGAGAGAGACCAGAGAGAGACCAGAGAGAGAGACCAGAGAGAGACCAGAGAGAGACCAAAGAGAGAGACCAGAGAGAGAGAGACCAGGGGGAGAGACCAGAGAGAGACCAGAGAGAGAGACCAGAGAGAGAGAGACCAGGGGGAGAGACCAGAAAGACCAGAGAGAGAGAGACCAGAGAGAGAGAGACCAGAGAGAGACCAGAGAGAGAGAGACCAGAGAGAGAGACCAGAGAGAGAGACCAAACTTCACCATGAGCACTTCCCTGTTGGGCTTCATTAAGCTAGCAGGTTAGCATTGTCCGTCTATATAAAGTGTTAGCATAGTCTACTGTTGTACACATGTAAAGGAAAAATGCATAAGCAGACACAGGGAGAACATGCAAACAAGGCCCTGGGACACCTCTCTAACCTCTGAGGTCCATTTGCATAGGAGAGGCCCCCAGCGGAGAGGCCCCCCGTGGAGAGGCCCCCCGTGGAGAGGCTGAGAAAGAGGAGAACAAACCAAACCAGGTGAAAACATGACACTAATCCTCAAACACCTGTTGACGCGTGATCGGAGTAAACAGTCTCTAACTGTGCTCCCTCCACTCGCTCCAGCCCTGGCTCCTGATTGGTCTAGACGGAGGAGGTTTGCATACGCCCCGGGGCATTGTGGGACAAGAAGAGGATTATGGGAGATTTGAATAAACGAGAAGCGAGTCTGAGACATGGACGCAGCAGTGAGAGCTAACAGGAGCTACAGAGGGAGCTACATGTTCTTTACATACTGACCTGGGGGGTAACTGCAACTCTGGGTCTCTGGTCTCCCTCTAGTCTCTCTCTGGTCTCGCTCTGGTCTCTCTCTGGTCTCTCTCTGGTCTCGCTCTGGTCTCTCTCTGGTCTCTCTCTGGTCTCTCCCTCTGGTCTCTCTCTCTGGTCTCTCTCTCTGGTCTCTCCCTCTGGTCTCTCTCTCTGGTCTCTCTATGGTCTCTCTCTGGTCTCTCTCTGGTCCCTCTCTCTGGTCTCTCTATGGTCTCTCTCTGGTCTCTCTCTCTGGTCTCTCTCTCTGGTCTCTCTCTCTCGTCTCCCTCTGGTCTCTCCCTCTAGTCTCTCTCTCTGGTCTCTCTCTGGTCTCACTCTGGTCTCTCTCTGGTCTCTCTCTAGTCTCTCTCTGGTCTCTCTCTGGTCTCTCTCTCTGGTCTCTCTCTCTGGTCTCTCTCTCTGGTCTCTCTCTCTCTGGTCTCTCTCTGGTCTCTCTCTCTGGTCTCTCTCTCTGGTCTCTCTCTCTGGTCTCTCTCTCTGGTCTCTCTCTGGTCTCTCTCTGGTCTCTCTCTGGTCTCTCTCTGGTCTCTCTCTGGTCTCTCTCTGGTCTCTCTCTGGTCTCTCTCTCTGGTCTCTCTCTGGTCTCTCTCTGGTCTCTCTCTGGTCTCTCTCTGGTCTCTCTCTGGTCTCTCTCTGGTCTCTCTCTGGTCTCTCTCTCTCTGGTCTCTCTCTGGTCTCTCTCTGGTCTCTCTCTCTGGTCTCTCTCTGGTCTCTCTCTGGTCTCTCTCTGGTCTCTCTCTCTGGTCTCTCTCTGGTCTCTCTCTGGTCTCTCTCTGGTCTCTCTCTGGTCTCTCTCTGGTCTCTCTCTGGTCTCTCTCTGGTCTCTCTCTGGTCTCTCTCTGGTCTCTCTCTGGTCTCTCTCTGGTCTCTCTCTCTCTGGTCTCTCTCTGGTCTCTCTCTGGTCTCTCTCTGGTCTCTCTCTCTGGTCTCTCTCTGGTCTCTCTCTGGTCTCTCTCTCTGGTCTCTCTCTGGTCTCTCTCTGGTCTCTCTCTGGTCTCTCTCTGGTCTCTCTCTGGTCTCTCTCTGGTCTCTCTATGGTCTCTCTCTCTGGTCTCTCTCTCTGGTCTCTCTCTCTGGTCTCTCTCTCTCTGGTCTCTCTCTCTGGTCTCTCTCTCTGGTCTCTCTCTCTGGTCTCTCTCTCTGGTCTCTCTCTCTGGTCTCTCTCTGGTCTCTCTCTGGTCTCTCTCTGGTCTCTCTCTCTGGTCTCTCTCTGGTCTCTCTCTGGTCTCTCTCTCTCTCTGGTCTCTCTCTGGTCTCTCTCTCTGGTCTCTCTCTGGTCTCTCTCTCTGGTCTCTCTCTGGTCTCTCTCTCTGGTCTCTCTCTGGTCTCTCTCTGGTCTCTCTCTGTCTCTCTCTGGTCTCTCTCTCTCTCTGGTCTCTCTCTGGTCTCTCTCTCTGGTCTCTCTCTGGTCTCTCTCTGGTCTCTCTCTGGTCTCTCTCTCTGGTCTCTCTCTGGTCTCTCTCTGGTCTCTCTCTGGTCTCTCTCTGGTCTCTCTCTGGTCTCCCTCTGGTCTCTCTCTGGTCTCTCTCTGGTCTCTCTCTGGTCTCTCTCTGGTCTCTGAAACTGCTGTGATTTCAGGAAATACATGAATAAATTAAATTGAATAAACCACTCAGCCACCTTGCTGTCCTAGACCCAGACCAGACCAGACCCAGACAGAAGTCCAGCCAAAGCCATATCCAGCACAGAGCCGTGTGAGTCACATTTTGACTCCCAGGGCTCGTTCTGACTGAGTTTTTTTGGTGCAGCAGCGAGTGTCGGATCCGTCGCCTCCCGTTCTCGTGTTGATCCTGACACCGAGGAGTCTTCTCGCAAAGGTCAT